GTTGAACAATTGGAAAGCTGCAGAAAAGAGCCATAAAAATAATTTGAGGATTGAGAGGCAGTGTCTGGTTTTAAGATTAAGTTACATAAGTTTATGGAGGGAATGGTTTGATGGTAAAACATAGTAGCCAAGGAATACCAAGCAATGGTGGGTAAATAATATAATGGCTAACAGAGGTCAGGCTAGAAACTCTTGCCTAAATGCTCGGGGTCTTACTGATCGCCATATTTGGGGTCGGGAAGGAATTTTCCTCCAGGGTAGATTGGCTGAGCCTCTGGAGGTTTTTCGCCTTCCTCCGCAGCTTGGGGCAGGGATCACTAGCAGGAGGGTCTCTGCCAATTGAAGTCACTAAAACACAGGATTGGGGACTTCAACAGCAGAGTCCAGGGAAGGGGTAGGGACGGTTTTGTGGCCTGCAGCATGCAGGGGATCAGACCAGATGATCATAATGGTCCCTTCTGACCTTAAAATCTATGAGTCTATGAGACCAAGCCAATCCCATGTGATGCAAAACGTGATGCAATGAATACTAAACACAATATATTGTGTTAATGCATATAAAAGAAGAGGTCTGTTGTGTAACTTTGAATGTGTGGTATGTCCTATAGTCTGATCAGCTCTGTACAGCTCTGCTGTCTGCCAAATAAGGGAACCTGAGTGACAAGACTGGTGTTGAACCGAATGTGTCTCAGGGGAACCCCAACATTCAATGCTTAACTAATTAAATTCAAACTAGTTGTGCTTCTGCCCACTGTCCCAAAACACATACAAAGTTCATGGTCATTTGTTTTGAGCAGCTGCTGCCTGTGGCATAGCTGAATTTGTTAAAATGTATTTTAGTTGATTAGAAAAGTGAAGTATGTTAGCTGATTAGCAGGGGGAAGGCAACAACATACAGAGAAGTTACTTACAAAGAGTAACATTGACTTTATCCCTCCAGCTAATGATGTCAAATACTGTTTATTAGAAATCTCTTTGATGTAAATTAAAAGGCACTTGCCTGACATAACAAAAGACATGAGGCACAAATTGTGACGTCACTGGTGCCTTACATTATGAATTCTTTGTGTAAAAATAAGAATGGCCAGAGAAATGAGCTCAGTGTGGAACCGGTCACCTGTAAATGAAAATTCAGAGCTGGTTTCTGTGCCACCTGGCCCTTGTGCAGTCATTTACATCTGTACAAAGCAGTTGCAAAGTAGATGTAAACACTACTAATTTAGGGCTAGTCTACACTGGCAATGCTAAAGTGCTGCCATGGCAGCGCTTTAACATGGCTTGTGTAGTCACGGCAGAGTGTTGGGAGAGCGCTGCAAGCTATTCCCCTCGGAGAGGTGGAGTACTCACAGCGCTGCGAGAGGTGGAGTAAACTCCAAGAGCGCTGCGAGAGGTGGAGTACTCACAGCGCTGCGAGAGGTGGAGTAATCACAGCGCTGCGAGAGGTGGAGTACTTACAGCGCTGCGAGAGGTGGAGTACTTACAGCGCTGCGAGAGGTGGAGTAATCACAGCGCTGCGAGAGGTGGAGTAATCACAGCGCTGCGAGAGGTGGAGTACTTACAGCGCTGTGAGAGAGCTCTCGCAGCGCTGGCAGCGCGACTACACTTGCACTTCACAGCGCTGCCGCGGCAGCGCTGGGAAGTCCTGAGTGTAGCCAAGGCCTAAGCTATGGTTAAGTAATTGCTAAATACTAAATGACTGTGTAGTTGACTTCAGTGGGACTTCAGGGGGTGCTTAAATTTAAGCACATGCTTAAATGCTTTGCTGAATCCAGGCCTTGGACAGGAATCCTACCCATAAGAATAACACTTTCTATATGAATGACAAGAGGTTATTTGGAGCAAAAGTTAACCCAGCAATGAATATTTCATTAGCTCACTGTTTGATATTACTTTATTGTTATTTTATGCACCAAGGGCCAAATTCTGAAGTCCTTATTCAGGGAAAACTAGTAGTATCATGATTAGTGCCATTGTTTGATTATTGTTGTCATACGAGGCATCACAAAGGTAGTGCAGGCTTTTTCTTTTTCCATTTAGCGCTTGACCCTGCCTCTCACTGAAGTCAATGGGAGTTTTGCCACTGACTTCAATAGGAGCAGGACTGGGTGCGTACTTCAAGTTTAATTTGTTCAACAGGAAAAACAGAAGGTGGTGTCATACTGGTACTATAAATATTTACTTGTTTCATTCAGTCTATCCACACTTTTCCAGCTAGGTAACGCAGACAGTTTGTGTTCCCTCTGTCTCCTGACTAGGTCTTTCTGCTGCTTCCAAAGAATCTCAGGCATAGATGACGCTAGGTCCAGATCTTTGCTTGGTGTATCTTCACTAGTCAGTGAGAATGCAGACTGAGACCTCTGTTGAAATAAAATTCAAAGAACATTATCTAAAAATAGTAGTAGCCAACTATTGAAGTATTAATTCCAATTAGCAATAAACAGTAACATTCTGCATGTCAAAGAAGTGTAGGGAATGAAATCAGCCTGAGAATGGAATTTTATTAGTTCAAAACAACATTCTTGGGCTTGGATAGCGTGTTTACATGCATTTAAAATGCAATTGCTTCCTGTGAGGAAGGCAGGGAATTGTTTGTATTGCTAGGCACAAGATTAAAAGTAGTTACCCAAGATGAAGCCATACAAATTTGTCAGTCTGGGAGTGCTGCTTGAAAGCATCAGTCCACTTACATGTTAGCCAGGGACGAGCCCAGAACAGTGATACAGAACATTCTGACGCATTGCTTCCAGTGGCGCCAAATTGAAGAGGTTAAAAAAAAGAAAAGAAAATACAACAGAAAAACCAAAATAAACCTGCATCTCAAGCAGCTTTAATTCTTGGATTCTTTTGTCTGCCAGGGAATACACATAAAACAAGAGAAGAACAGAGCAGGATCCAGCCAATGGATTCCACAAATTCATATACTGTGTTTGCTACCCATTTCTAACACAGGGTCTCTTATAGCAGATCATTCAAAAGGAATGTAAGTTATGAGACAAAGTACTACTGAGATGGAACAGTGATTCCATACCTGTGGGGAAAGGGATTTTTTTAGGAACCATATAAGCAGGTCAGTCATTTTAGTTCATGTTTAGTTCACGGCACCAGATAATGGCATTACACAACAGTTGGGGGTAGAGTGAGGGCCCAATGAACCAAATGAGAAAATAAAATGAAATATAAAAGCATATACCACCCTTTTATTTTTTAAACAATCGTTTCTTTTGGGGGTTGGTGGGATACCAGCGCACTCTGCTGGAAGTTTTAGAACTTGAGTCCTAATATTAGTTTGTGGCTCTATATTTAGGCATCTAAATGTTGCCTCATTTTCAGAGATGCTAAGCACCTGCAGCTCCCATGGATTGCACAAGGATTTGTAGGCTCTCGGCACTTCTACAAATTAGGCCACTTATTTAAATGTAGAAATTTGAATAAAGAAACCTAACTTCAGGCACTTGACTTCGAAAATTTTGTTCATTATCAGTCAATATTGTTTAGCTGCACAATTTTTTTAACAGATAATTTTGCTTCCAATTACAGCATATTCTTAGACTGCCTGAATGGCATAGACACTGCATTTTCCAATGGCAGTCTACTTTTTCCAATTCACTCTTAGGGACTAAAATCTCTGTCACTAGAGAGTACAAGTAAGGGATTGTCTTTGTAGGCCCTGGTCATATGAAAGGATTTGCTTTGAAGTTGTGCAGCATCTTTATGCAGGGGGTGGTGACATTTTTAGGGCTCTGTCTTTTTCAACTGGTGTTCAAATACTTGACAAAAGTAGTTGACCAAAGTAGTTAGTCGGAAAGGGCCAGACCCTCAGCTGCATCAGAGATCTGCTTCGCACGGGCAGGGATGAAAGAGGTGGCAAAGTTTACTTTAAGCTATTTTTGTTTCCTCCCTGCCCCTCACTCCAGTTAATCCCTGGGGCAGCATCAGGACTGGTCTAAGTCCCTTTGGCTTGTAACAGCCCCTTACAGGCCAATATGCTGACTAGAGATTGCCAAGTGCTGCTTCTCTGGCCACGCCCCCCAAGCATCCCTATGCCAGAGGAATTAATTGTGAATCACTCAGTACTCCTGGCTTAGTTCTATGATTTCATAAGGGAAATAGTAAAAAGGCAATGAATCAAGCAAGAGGGATTAGTGAGGCTTCAGGACGCCGAGGATCTGGGAAAATGCCAGAATATTGTCCTAGATTTGAACCTTCCATAACATTGTAATGGCCTTGTAATATTGTTAACACTGCCAATGCGGAGCGACAAGTTCTAGCACGATACACTGGAGTATTCCGTTTCAGCTCAATGGCACATGTTAATTAATAGAACATTGTATAAAATAATTGTGAGTTGCATTGGATGGTATTTACTTATATAACAAAAATCTTCAACATGTGAAAATAAATGTGTCATTGCACTAAATCCCTGTAGAGTACAAGTAAGGTTATCTCATGCTGAATTTTAAAAAGCTGGGCTAAGCCAAATTTTTTTAAAATTAAACTATTCTGAAGCTGAACCAACCTGTGTGACTTCAGTGAACATTACCTTAAATGGTAATAGTTGCAACAGGAAAAACACATGTACCTATGGCAGTTACTATAACTGAAATAAATTAGAGAAGAAAAACTTTTTTCTGTACTTTTGAGTGAGTTTACTTTGTGCATTTGAAAGCACAGCCAGCAGCACTGTCTCCCCTGAAGTCAGACAGTCATTTACCCCCTGGCTGAAAAGACCTTTATAGACAACAGGGGAACAGGGTTTTCTATCAGAAAGAGGAATTATTTCATATTAATCACTTTAACCATTAACAAAAAACAACATTACACCTTTGGATTCCAGTCAATTTCAAAAGACATATCTATCTTTAAGCCATTTTAGACCTTGGAACAGATCTTTGCCTGGTTTAAACCATCTGAGGATCTAGCCCCTTGACTTATTTTAAAAGTTCCACTATTAAAACATGGTACTGTAGTCCACGAAAGCTTATGCTCTAATAAATCTGTTAGTCTCTAAGGTGCCACAAGTACTCCTGTTCTTTTTGCGGATACAGACTAACACGGCTGCTACTCTGAAACCTGTCATGGTACCAACAGTTACACTAATTGCTTTTGGTGTAGAGTTTTGCTTTATATTTGGATTTCATCCTACTCTTCAAAATTCCATCATCTAAAAATAGTATAGTTATTTTAATTTCTCTGCATTCTTGTAGGAAATCAGGAGATATGGGGTCCATAACAAGCTCTGCCACTAACTTGGATGAACTTAGGCAAGTTTTAACCCCCCTTCTCCACCCTCCGCATGAGAGAATGCTAAAACCATATTATAATGTTCAGTCACTAGGTGGCGCAGTGTGGCTTATCTGAGCTGGTAACAGCCATACCTGGCAGTGCATTAAAGTAGCATATCTCTTCTCCATGATGGAAGCTCTGTAGATAGTTCAAATTTGGTACACAAGCCTGATCTGCTAGTAGTGCCCCTGCAACCTACCATGTACACAAGGATACGACACCCTTTGTGATTCAATTTACTCAACTGTAAAATGGGGACTTCCTTACTTCCCGCCCTTAGAATTAACTAGGCTCAGCAACTGTTTGTAACGTGCTTTGAGACCTTTGGATGTAAGGTGCTCTGTACTGTAAATGCCAAGTTGTTTATTTAGTGCTGACAGCAGGATTGGCACCACTCAAGACAGAATGATGATGATAGTCCCTGCTCAGGAACACTTACCATCAAAAAGGCTTCTAGAGGGCAAAAGACTCTGGGAAATCCAGAAGAGGGGATAATGTATATTCTCTCTAGCTAATACATATTTACAATTGTTATTAAGAATTTATAAGAAGTGGTGAATTTTCAGGTAGTATTTGAATGAGGGTGTGACATTCTATACCTTGGGGGAGTGCTCTGTAACACCCATATTCCTCATTTACATATACACCTCTACCCCGATATAACGCTGTCCTCGGGAGCCAAAAAATCTTACCGCGTTTTAGGTGAAACCGCGTTATATCGAACTTGCTTTGATCCACCGGAGCGCGCAGCCCCACCCCCCCGGAGCACTGCTTTACCGCGTTATATCCGAATTCATGTTATATCGCGTTATATTGGGGTAGAGATGTAGTTGTGATGTTGCATATAAAGCATGCCATGCGAGGTATCATGAGAAAGGTTATGATCTGCTGAAAGCCATTGTTCCATCTAAATAGGTGTATCGTTAATGCATATAACATTATAAGAATTGTGTTGTATGGTTTTCACTAAAATATGCTGTGGGTTGGTGACGTGCCCAGATCCTAGCCCTACAGAGACAATGGCAAGGGAAGAGGTAACCAACGCCCAGGTGGGGGCTGAACAGACATCACCAGCCATTGTCCAGCAGAAGAGTTATAATTCAGTGACTCCCTCACAGGAGACACACAGGGGTATTGCTTCACCTCCTGACTCAGCAATGCCCACTAGACATGCCTGGATTTGTGTTCTCCAAGCACCTGGGACTAAGGGTATAAAACAGAACACAGGGGCCCCATGCTTGGCCTTTTCTCTGGCCCCCACCTATGCTGCAAGCAACAAGGACGCTCAGAAGACTGCAGACTCTAACAGAGGAGACTGGCTCAGGTTTCAAGGGTGAAATCTGTGTATTATAAACTGCAATATCCAGTGGGGTGAGAAAAACTGCTTAACTGCTTAGAGGTTGCCCAGTCTAATAGGGTTGACAGTTTAGATTGCGTGCTTATATTTTATTTTATGTGGTAACCACTCTGACTTTTGCTTGTCGCTTATAATTAAAATCTATCTTTCGTAGTCAATAAACTTGTTTTACTGTTTATCTTCACCAGTGAGTTTGCCTGAAGTGTTTGGTATATCTGCTCTGTTTTACGACGACTGGTGTAGATCCACTTTCCAATGATGAAGTGGTGAACCAATTAATAAACTTGCATTGCTCATCTTTAGTAGTGCAAGATGGCATATTCCTGAGGTGCCAGGCTGGGAGCTGGGCGGGGGATTCGGCTGGTGCCTTTCTCTGTGTGATTCATGAGTGGCTCATGCAATCTAGCTGGGTGTGGGGCTCCACATGCAGTTGTGCTGAGTGATAACAGCGTCTGGAGGGGTTTGCTGCTTGTCACTAGCAAAGCATTGTGAGAGACAGCCCAGGCTGGAGAGTTAAGGGGGCACAATGGTCCCACCATCCTAGGCTGCACCCCAGGGATCCCGTTGTGATGCTACGCCCATATTCTTCACAGAAATATTGTTATGATATGAATATGGCATAACTACTATGTTTTATGCAAGATGGGTCATGTAAGGTATCATTGGAAAGGTTATGTTTTACTGAATATGATTATTCTCTTTGTATACATATATCAG